GGAGCGATATCCCAGATATTCCACACACCTATTACCGACGGAACCTTTTCGCTCGACCGATTCCAAAGCCTGAATCAACAATACTTAAGTTATCCTTTTCGAAGTAAACATTAGCAGTCTGTATCTTTGAAACTGACATGTCGAATACCTAGTCATGGTTCTTATTCTGACTCGGATTTCCGCGTGGATGCATGCATCATGTGGATCACCATGAGGCTATCAATTGTGATAACAAAATGAATTCTAGGAGACTATTTTGCTAATGCCATATTTATACATGGATATTACTGTCCACCACAGGATTGTTGTTTTTTTTGGTTTATGACATGTACGGTTTAACGTTACAGCAATCGTATCTTTTTTTCGAGTCCAAGACCAAACTTGTATCAGTCACTTTTTTTCTGGTATGTTTCTTGCTGTCAAATCTGACTCTCAAATTGCCATCACTCTGAATATCCTCGTATATTTTCTCCGGTAGTGTTTTTCTTATGAGTAAAAGATTTCAACTTGCAAAATATCTGCTTCTCTTACACTGTCACAATTAGCTACAGCGAGAACATATGATTTAATTCGGCATATTCCAGATGATCTGCAGACATATACTAGCTATCCAAAGGGAGCTATCTCCCGAATTCCTCTAACAGGGTTAGAGGCATTATCAAATTGGACTAGGTCAGTCAACCACCAACGACACATCTTATCCCTTGTACCTTTGACCTGCATATTATGATCCTGTTTCTATTTCCCCATGAGAAGCGGAAATAGTAAAATCCATGGATTTCCATGTAGTCTGATGTTCTATGGAAAGGAATTGATTTAATTACAGCACTGTATCCTAATTGAACCATATTGATGAAGACATCACATCATTTTAGATATTGCCAGGAAGAGATACATATGCCTGTGAGTTTTGATATGAAGTATACTCAACTCATTGTTGCAGAGAAGAGCTGCTTCAAGGTTGGGTTTCTAAAGTTTCTACTAGGATGTCGAAAAACAGTGAGATGCTGCAAACCAAAAAAGGCCTCCATGACACATTCTTTCGCATATATTTAGATGCTAGTTAGTGACTGTAAAATAGTAGATTTCCGTTCATTTTTTCTTGTTGATGGTACTACCGGGTGTTGGGCACATATGAGGCGATAATGGTGCGGATAGCTACTAGGGTCGAGAGTATTAACAGTATCGCGATGCTGTAGAACTTTTTGAAAATCCACTCAGTCTATGTTCCATTCAAAGTCAATTGATTGTCTGTTTAATTTGGTGCCGCGGTTAATCATAATTGTACATTCGCAGCATAATCATTTCGTGTACAGCTGTGATGATGAGCGTGGTACCAGTGCAAATTCGGACGGGGGGCGTTCTTGCGAATAACGCGCACAGAATCAATACTGCTCTACTTCACGACCACAAAAAATCCCCGTACGGTTGACGCAAAAACAGCACAGGTGGAAACCCAGTCGGAAGAGTAGATATGCTTTGGGTGTTATATGTCCAGTGCTGCCAGTAATTGTTGAGGTGTCAAACACGCAACCCCGCCAACAGCTGCCAAACAACGCGTCGACTCGGTGTAACTACTGGACAACGCAGATAGCTGTCACTATGCAGGAAAAAACATAATAGAGAAATAAGCAGAGAAGCGCTCCTCAACGTCAGAAAGAATTGAGGGATTGGAATCAAGAGGGCGCTGAGAGGAGGATGTTGGGTAGAGCTACCTCCTGGGGCGCGTGACACACCCTCACCTGACACATATTACGAGACACGTCATCGACTCGACACGATTGCCAGAGGGGTTGTACACAAGAAGAGATAGGCAACAATAGAGTTTCTGATAGCTGGTGAGGTGGGTCTTGGTTTCGTCAGAATTTTGTGTATGTTGGGTATGCTGGGGAAGGGCAATCGGAGTATCTCTGTGCACAAGCGAAACACCACGGAAGGAGGCGGAACAGAGCGCGTAGAATACCCAAACACCACCAAGACTAGCGTAAAGTCAAAACCTTGGAAGGCCGAGAACGTTCGGTGAGAAACAGATAGACAGTTAGGCCGAGAAAAGGTGAGGCAGGCAAGGAGACGCGCTCCTACATGGGCGGGCGAGATTTTGTGGTATGCGTTTGCGCGATGGATTGGTTAGCTGTGCAAAACCTGAGGCCGTGTCGAAGCAAAGACGGTCAAAGTAGAACTAATGTCGATCGCTGTTGATAGACGTATAAAAAAACAAAAAGCGCTCGGCTTTGGGCACGCGGGCAAAAGTGTGGTCGAGGCAAAAGCTTATGGGTGTAGGGGCATGTGGACAGAGAGGGACAGAGGGATGAGGGATGAGGGACGAGGAACGAGGGAGGGGTTCAACGCGTGCGCTTCCATGGGCACCGCAACGCGCCCCAACTTGCAGACTGGATTAGTGTAGGAGAGCAAACAAACGAGACGAGATCACCCTGAAGCGCTCTAGGTTGGTGAAGGGGAGAGAGTGTTAGCGCACTTTTTGCGGGTTGGGAAAAAGAGCGCATTTGGATCACACAGGCGCTGAGATTGCTATAAATTGGCCGCCCCCCACTTGCACGCGCGCTCTTGCCCTATCGCAAACCTCCCAACACCACCACAACCTCTCCATCGCTCTTGGTCTTGCTCTGCCCATTTCAAGCTTCAATCACACATCTGCTATCCAGTCCAAATTAACCCACACAATGCCTCCCAAGAAGACCACCACCCCTTCCAAGGCAAAGGCTCCCTCTGCCGCCCCTGCACATGGCTCCTACATCGGTATGTTGTATATCCCCAGCACACCACCAGCGCATTCTCTATGCGTACACGGTCTGTTGCATCATGATCGCCGATAAATGCTGACTTTGTATTGTAGACATGGTAAAGGATGCCATCATCAACGTGAGTCTATCCTCCCAGGCGCATTGCCAGTTCCCCCCCGCACCGGGGATTGCGACGCCAGCGCATCACCGCGCAAGGCCCAACACTCCAACTCCTCCACTCTGTGTATCTTAATGAACATGATTACTGACGTGCTCTTTTCACGATACAGCTCAAGGAACGTAATGGATCAAGGTTAGTACATCCATCTCATGTTGATGTTGTTGCCTTCGCGCCGCGTTGTGCTTTTGTCGCAACACGCGTCTGTCAGAATCCTTACTAACTTTCCCCTACAGCCGTCAAGCCATTCAAAAGTACATCCAAGCCAACAACAAGCTCGGCAACCTGAGCGATGCTGCTTTCAGGGGCCACGTCAACCGCGCCATTTCCTCTGGTGAGGAGAAGGGTGACTTTGCGCGTCCCAAGGGTGAGTGCCTATCCCTCCGCCACAACCTAACCCGTGACGCGTTTCCCTAGCGTCGCTCATCACCCATTGACTTGGACATTACTGACACGTCGCGCAGGCCCATCTGGACCAGTAAAGCTTGCTAAGAAGGAGGCTAAGCCTGCTGCTGCTGCCAAGAAGTCTGAGTCTAAGTCTGAGAAGAAGGTCACTGAGAAGAAGACCGAAAAGAAGACTGCCGAGAAGAAGAAGGCCCCTGCCACCAAGAAGGCCGCCAAGGACTCCCCCAAGGAGGAGACCAAGGAGGAGAGCGCTACCGTATGTATTATGCTCGTGTTTTCAACCACCAAGGCTGACATAATCCGTAGGAGACTGAGACCACTACCAAGGCTGCCCCCAAGAAGAAGGCCGCAACTGCCCGCCCAAAGAAGGCTGCCGCCACTACCACCAAGGCTGCTGCTGCCGCCAAACCCAAGGCCAATGCTAGCAAGCCCCGTAAGACTGCTGCCGCTAAGCCTGCCGTTGAAGAGGAAGTATCACGCGTTCTCGGCAAGACCAAGTCTGGTCGTGTCACCAAGAGCAAGGCTCCCGCTACTGAGGCTAAGGCTAAGGCAGCAAAGAAGACCGCTGCACCCAAGAAGAAGGCCACTGAAGAGAAGAAGGAGCCTGCCGCAAAGAAGGCTGCCGCACCTAAGAAGGCCACCACCCCTAAGAAGAAGACCACACCCAAGAAGGCCACACCAAAGGCTGCCAAGGCATGAGGTTGAATTCTTGTCTTTGTTGATGTTGTTTTCCTTTTGAATTGCTTCAGTCGTCTGGCATAGAAGCATATGCTAGACTACACCTTCTTCACGGATTCCCTTTTGTCTTACAATCAGTCTCTGGGTTCTATGGGCGGTCAAACAGCGTTAGTACCGGGTGGATATGGATGGGAAATGGGCTGGATGTTCCTTCTCTCTCTCGCTCTTCTTATGTCGAGTATGTTGGCGGGGCGTTTCGGGCGCAGTTTGTCTCAGTCTCCAGCGCTTTCATGTCTTGTGTTTTTACCACATCTGTTGTTCTTTTTGTTTTCCTTCTCACTCTCACCAGCGCCGCGCTTTCTTATGGCGCGTACATATCGAGAGGATAATCGCTACGACGTAACGCTCATCGTCTCAAAGCAATGAAAAAACCCATTACACACTTCAAACATTGCGCCTTCTCTTTGTATGTGAAGAAGGTTGTGTGAATTGTCGACGTGTTGTTTTCGCATGCACGCGTCGAGGTTGCTTTCCTCGTGACTTTGACCTACTCCACCTGATATGATAAGATAAGGATTATGCACCACTGATATAATTGCTACTTGCACAACGTCGCTCGTCTCCAGGAACACTGGATTCCTCAAGTAGCTTTTGGTATCTAAAGAAACTGGACTCGACACCTTGTCTAAAGGGTACTTATCACCCCATATCACTAGAACAAGACGAAGATGAAGCAACCAACAGTGCAGAAAAATCAAGCGATGAAGTATCATAAATGTCTATTCATTTTGTCATATCATATTTAGCAAGAGCAAAAAGAAGAAGAGGTGTCCTACAACCCCCCCAAATATATACAAAGGACAGTTCTGCTCAACCGCATTCTTCTCTCCATCAACCAGAAAACTTTTGTTGTTCAGGCCACACACACACACACACACACACACACACACACACACACACACACACACACACACACGAAAAACCAGAGTCAAACCCGCTTACTCGGAGTAGTGACACTTCTCAGGAGTCCAATCATTATCAACACGGGCCTCAAACTTAGTACAGTTCTGACCAGCAGGATGCTCAAAGGCATCCATCCAGACCTTGTACTGGCCGGGGGCATTGTAAATGGGGCAAGCCTGGAGGCCGTAGATAGGGGCGGTGGGGGTGAACTGGAGCTTGAGGGTGCCGTGGTTATCGACGAAGAAGCCGTCGCGGAGGGCGTTGCGGGGCAGGGGCTCTGCGCCAGTCGTGTAGCGCATGTTGCCCTGGCCCATGCCGTCGGCTGCCGTGTAGAATTGCTGAGGCGGGTTGGCTGTGTAGAGCGAGAGAGTGCCGTTGCCGAAGACAAAGGTTGCGTAGTCGCGTGGGTCGGGGCCGCAGGAGGCGCCTTGGTCTTTCAGCCCGATGAGCAGACTGCTGTTCGCGGCTTGGAGGAATTTGCCGTCAAAGTCGGTGCCGGGGGCGATGGCGAAGAGGCGCGAGGTCCAGAAGAGGGGGGTGTCGTCGGCACGGGTCTGGAGGGGGCTGGCGGCCGCGAGAGCAGCGACGCTGGTGGCGATGGCGGCGGTGGTGAACTTCATGTTGATTGTTGGTGGTGGTTGATGATTATTATATTATATTGTTGTTGTTGTTGTTGTTGTTATTATTGTAGTAGGCGTAGTAGTGGTAGCGAAGGTGGATGTCAAGCTGGATGATGAGTTTCGAAAGAGAAGGGGACATGTCAGATGGATTATATATACACGCAAAAGAGCCTCAAATTCTCTAAGTTCCGCCCATCATGGCCCTGTTGAAGCGCATAGGTAACACACTATCGAGGACGGAATGAGGTCCATGTGCTCGGCGTATTACCCTCAATGCTCCCGCATGAGATCATTTGCGAGCCGAACACGAAGCGCATCTCTCCATGCCCCCACATTTTGGCACTTGTTTTTAGGAACCGCGCCACAGCCGGAGCGGGTGCCCTTCAGGGTCCGCAAAGGATCAGGGCTGCAAAAAGGCTGCATGTCCGTATTGCCGCGCCTGGGTGCTATCGAATGTTCGCACGAAGGTCGAATCAAAATCGTAGGCGGTGACGTGGCTGTGTTCAGAGCCAAGGGCCGATTCAATGCCGCTTGGCTGTGAAGAGTTAATCCGCCTGCCTCTTCGGTCGTCGTTTCATTCGCCGGGATAACCCTATTCGCTCTTTTGCCAGTTGCTGACAAGAATAGAAACACTCCACTGACCACTGGGAAGTGTTTGGCCGCATTGTTCTTGGCGAAGATCGTAATGTCACGCTTGTTGTCGTCTCTCGTGTTCTTTGCTTCTAGCCTACACGTGGATTCCCAAGTAGTCGGACAGCGCATTCTTTGTTGCCACTTCCAATATTTATCTTCTCCTGTACCAATAAACCACATCTCGCCAGCTGGATGATTCAGTGTCTTCACACAGACCAGAGGGCAACATACTTGCTCACCGCCAGGTTCATCTCCCGTGCCCTGTCAGATATCCACCGCCGAGCCTTCAGAATCCTGGAGTGTGTGCTTTCCGGATGTAACGGTCATGCACTATTGTAGCACGGCCGCTATCCCGAAGACTAAAGTGTATTTTTACGTCAAATCCACTTATGACATATTTGCCATTGCGACCTGACCGTAGTGTCTTATGATGGGACTCGAATGCTACTTACTATTGATACGTACCTCTTTTAGACATTGCTTTGCACTATTTCATGTGACCAGTCCGTATATGTAGCTGGTACCTTGCCTTTTCTGTCACCAATACATGTCCTCGTGTATGTAGTACATACATACATACAGTTCAGCCTGCACAGCGCCAGCATGCCATGTCAAGTACTAGAGTGCCTTGGAAGGTTTGTGTTGGAAACTTCAAAACAGTCGGCTTACGGTGCATGGACTCGACAAGAGAGTTTGTAGAGTACTACTGTTCCCGGCCCGACTATCCTTCGTTTCACCTGCCAATCGGCAGTCACCTGTCGACACCTGGGCGTACATAAGTATGTACTTAGAGTACTGTATATTACTTGGTTTCTTGACGCAAGTTGAAGCTGAAACGCTCGGCGCTGTGAAGAATAGGCGCACGTAGATTTAAGGAGGAACTCAGCGCTTTAACCATCTGTAGCGTCGTACTATGTCACATGCCGTATAGCGAACCTTGACTCGACCAGCGAATTTGAAAGCGCCACCAGGTAGATGTATTTATTCAGGAGAACTACTCCAATAAAGAGGCCTTTATGGATACTGATGTCTCTATGCGTAGTAGCTACACACTCAGATTAAACTCGTTGTTCCTCCAGAAAAGTACCAGTCTCGGAGTTATGGTACGCGTGTCAAAAGGGGCTAAGCTCATACAGGTAATGCCGATAGTGCTGACAACAAACCGTGATTTATGTTGTCGTCGGGAGAGGGGGGTTGAAAGGGTTATGTAATACTAGTACATAAGTACTTTCTGGGATCGTGACTGAGGGACAAAGAATGTTCCCGCTTCCCTCCTCCTGTGCCGGTGTTCGGATAGGTAGGGTCTTACTGAGAGATTAGGTTTTCCTAGATAACTATATTTTGCGCGCAGATATGCCGCAACACTTAGGCTATTCTATTTGCGTCTGGTCTTCCAGTTGTTTGTTGTAACGTTTTCTCCGAAAGGAAGCTACGAGCTATGAACGTACATTAGAATACTGGCGATAAGACATATTCGCCATGTACTACAAGATCCTCGCTCTATACCCAATGTACGCATTCTTTGTGTTGTCACGTAGATCTTGTTGTTTTCGCAGGTTACTCATTCGGCGATGCATCATACACGAAGAAATATACTGTACTGGACAGTGCTCTCGTCTCTTATAGTAACCGCCTCTTGAATATTTTTCTTCCTGAGGCTATTCGCATTGCCTTGATCGAAAAGTTACTGCATTCTTCTTTAGCAAGAGAGACTTCATCATCCAACATATGATGACCACTATTCATAGACGGTATCCGAGTGATTGCGTCACCAGCGATTGTCAATGCGAAGAGCGACCAAAACAATTATGAGCCTTGATTCCACTAGTTTTCCGGTGTCCGTCGGTGTCCGTCAGTGTCCGTCAGTGTGGCTAAGAATAACCTCGTATCTCTTCCATGAATCAGGGGCTTCTCTATCCAAAATCGAGTCTAACGATTATTTTAGCGCTTCTCGTCATATCATAGCCACATCTATTCAAGTCTACTCTACTGCATATAATATTTCCTCTCTATACCTCGTTGGAGAATACCTTTTTACAGCAACAGCGCGACTTCTATATCATTACCAACGTGACTGTGCCTCTAAATATGATTCATCTTAACAAAGCTGCCGCTGTTACGCTATAAAATATTATGGTCCTCAAAATCTCACCACTGATTCCGACAGAAGTATCGTGTGTGAACGTTGGGAAGGACATCAACAAATAGGAAGGGACTTTGACGTGTTGCGAATAGGATGTGAGTGCCAAATGTACGGCTTCATAGAATCGCAGACCTTTTGATCATACTCGAAGATGTTTACCCTGAATTTTAATACACACTAACCAGACATACATATTTCGATTGACAAACGGCGCGTCAGAAATCCGAGAAACCAGGAGTTGTAGCCGCTGAGATTCCTTTTCAAGCTATATCTTTATTGACTGTCCTGTTACCATTACTACGTAGTTAGAGATCCGTAGCCATGCAATAAAAAGCAAAGTATGCTATTACCCAGAACTGTGCAAGATGTTCCGGCAATCCTTGGAGTAGTCCGTAATGTTCTCAAGCTCGAATTCATCTATTAATGTACTTAGCAGATAGCAAAACTTACCTCAAATGCTAAAAAGCAAAACCACAGCAGTCTTCGTTGAGATTGAGGTTATAGAATCCTTCTTGTTACTTGTAACGTACAGTACATAACTACCGAACATAAAAGTCAAGAGGAAAGAAGCGCTGCGCCACCATCACGGGGAGAAGTAGGACCCCGATCTCCGACCTGACTTTGCCTATTTTAGGCTTAGCGCAAGATGGAGGATAAGCCTCACTATCAGGTCAGGGTCCAATCACCCCTGACCACATGCATGCCAATCGACGTTCCTTATCGTCCACGCGCGCGTCGTCACATGTCGTTGCACCGCCGACCGCCATGAAACGCCTCTCTGACTGGCGGCCGCCCCCTCAAAGCAAGTATGCACGTAGATCTCGCCTTGCTAACACCCAGCACTGACCCCGTCCAGTTCAGCGTGACCTTGTGCCCAGCGTGATGCCTAAATCCCGCGCCTTGACTGGTCGTACCTCTTAACCCTTTCATCTCTCTTTCTCTCTCTTCCTCTCTCCAACATACTAGCTAAACACCGGTTTCTTTTCTGTCCCAACCGCCCCCCTCATTCATATACAGTAGTAGTCTTTGATTGCTATACTCCTTGTAACGAGCCAGTCGGGTCGCAAGAGAACTGTCCGTCGGCATCTCCGTTGGATCCACACACATTCGACGCGTACTATTCCCGAGCTACGCGCTATACCATATATCCTGCGTAGACTAAACGACCGACCTTCCGTATTGAGGCACAGTCGTTATTTGCCATCTATCGAATCAGCGACTGTATCGTCGAGTCGTGCATGCACAACGCCCTGTCGTGACGGGAGCCAAAAACAAGAAAGCTTGTTGTAGCTTGATTGCACAGCCGGTAGCCTTAATCTGTACCTTGGATCTTGGAGACTATCCTTGCCAGTAGTAGAAGGTCGCAATTTACAGACAAGAGGGAACAGAAGGATAAAAGTGGGAATCATGATCGACACTTTGGTAGATGCAGCGAGGGACGCAGTACATAATGCGGCTGCGTCGTCTGCAAATCTGGCGGCAGAATCGCCAACCATGCCTTCGCTCAGGACTCTAGGCAAGCTCGCCGTCGGTGGCGCACAAATTATCCTCGGTGGAGGTCAGCGCGTCATGGGTGACTTCACCCAGGCGTGCCCCAATGCGCAGTTGAGCTGCCACAACACGACTGCTGTGGAGAACCTATGCTGTTTCAACGCCCCCGGTGGACAGCTGCTCCAGACACAATTTTGGGATGCATCGCCTGCTACCGGACCAGATGATAGCTGGACGATTCACGGACTATGGTACATTTCCCCTTTCCCCCCCACACATCCATATACACAACGTACTAACGAACGCACCCAAGGCCCGACCGCTGCGACGGAAGCTTCGACGCAAGCTGCGACTCGACGCGCTCCTACTCCAACATCAGCGCAATCCTCAACTCCTTCGGCGCCACCGACCTCCTCGCCTACATGTCGACCTACTGGAAAGACTACAAAGGCCAAGATGAATCATTCTGGTACCACGAGTGGGCCAAACACGGCACCTGCATCTCAACCCTCGAGCCCGAATGCTACACCGAGCACAAGCCCACCGAGGAAGTCGTCGATTTCTTCCAGAAAACCGTAGACCTATTTAAAACCCTACCAAGCTACGAGTGGCTCAAAGAAGCAGGCATCCTACCGAGCACCACGCAAACCTACACATTCGACGCAATCCAAAAAGCCATCCAGGCAAAGCGACCAGACGTCGAAGTCACACTGGGCTGTCGCTCCGGCGCACTCAACGAAATCTGGTACCACTTCGACGTACGCGGCAGCGTGCAAACAGGCGAATTCGTGCCCTCGAACCCCGATGGCACAAAATCTACATGCCCCCAATCCGGAATCAGATACTTGCCCAAACACGGTAGCGGGTCGCAGCCTTCCAACCCTATCATCACCACGACTAGTACGGTGGCTGGTGGCAATCCGGCGCCGACGGCTGCACCGGGGACTCCGTTTAGCGGGCGCGGCCAGTTGAATGTGCTTGTTGATGGGGCCAAGCAGGGCTGTATTATTAGCAAGGGCACGTGGTACGCGACTGGCACTTGTGCCACTTTCTTAGCTACCAAGGTGGGCGAGGATGGGTTTACGCTTTCGAGCTCAAAGGGCAACTGCGGCATTGTTGGGGGTGCGCTGGCGTGCGGTAACAATGTTCGCACTGCGACCGGTTTCACGAATGCCGATGGGCTGTTGGCTGCGGGTGGCAATGCCAAATGGAGCGCTGACAAGGCTGCGCGTGGAAGCACGCAGCAAACGGTGTATGCGGGTGGAGATCACTCTGCTACATTTAGCATTTCCTGGCAATCCGTCTAGATGATTGCTTGATTTCTCCTTTTTTTCCTCTACTATACTCTCTTGATAGAATCGCATAAGCGAGCACAATGCATAGGCACGTATGAATGAATCACACAAACAAACTGATTGAGCAAATAATCTCTTCTTCATTTTTTTTGTAATGACCGCTGGTTAAGCAGCAATCTGGTCAATGGACCAGCCAGGCCACTTCTACGAAAAAGTACTGCTTTTGTCGCCCAAAAGGCTTTCTTTTTTTTACATGGCACTACTGGTATCTTTCCCCCCATTCCATCTCATGACATCATCAATCACAAATATCGTACGAGCTGTTGAACACTCCGGTCCGGATTCTTTTGTTGAAACACCGTTGCCCATACCCAAAAAAAACGCCGTCTTACGCCCTATAATCCCATTTTATACCACTCTGCATTTAGACGGGCAGAGGGAAGGTGACAGCCCAGGCGGCAATCTCCTTCTTAAGGTCGTTGATCTCTTGGACCTCGCCAGAAGCAACCTTGCTCTTGAAGTCCTTGAGCTTGTTGTTCTCCGTGGGAAGCTCGCTCTGGATCTTCTTGCACAGCTTGATGCAAGTGTCAATGTAGTTGGCAATCTTCTTGAAGTCCTCCTCGCCGAGACCACGAGAAGTCATGGCAGGGGCGCCGATACGGATACCCATGGGGGTAAGAGCGGACTTGTCACCAGGGGTGGTGTTCTTGTTGCAAGCAATGTTTACTTGCTCGAGAACAGCCTCGACACGTGCACCATCGAGGGAGAAGGGCTTCAGGTCAAGGAGAACCATGTGGTTGTCAGTGCCGTCAGTGACGAGTTTGTAGCCCATTGACTTGAAAGCAACCTCGAGAGCCTTGGCGTTCTTGATGACCTGCTGCTGGTACTGCTTGAAGTCATCTGATTGGGCCTGCTTGAGGGCAACAGCCAGCGCAGTGATGGTGTGGTTGTGTGGGCCACCCTGGTGACCAGGGAAGACGGAGAAGTTGATGGGTCCCTCAAGGTCGTACAGGGTCTCCTTGCCGGTCTTGGGGTCGGTCTTGCGTACACCCTTGCGGAAGAAGATCATGGCACCACGGGGACCACGGAGAGACTTGTGAGTAGTGGTGGTGACAATGTCGCAGTACTCAAAGGGCGACTTGTTGACACCAGCAGCAATGAGGCCAGAGATGTGAGCCATGTCCATGAGGAGGTAGCAACCGACCTTGTCGGCAATCTCGCGCATGCGCTTGTAGTCAATCTCACGGCAGTAGGCAGAGGTACCGGCGACAAGGACCTTGGGACGGTACATGAGGGCGTTTTGCTCGAGCTGGTCGTAGTCGATAAGGCCGGTCTCGAGGCTGACGCGGTAGGGGAAGGTCTCAAAGTATGTGGAAACGGCTGAGATCCTACACGTTGTTAGCTTTCATTCAATACGTATGAACCTGGTTGTGAATACGCACTTCCTCTGGGGTGTTTGGTAGCCGTGGCTCAAATGTCCACCGTGGGGCAGGTCAAGACCCATGAGCCTGTCGTGCGGCCTCATAATGGCCTGGTAAGCCTGAAGGTTTGCTGGGCTACCGCTCAAGCATTGAACATTGACACCCCACTTCTCGGGGTCCAAGCGGAAGGTCTCAAGAGCACGCTTTTGGCAGAGCAGCTCGATCGAGTCAATGTGCTCGTTACCGCCGTAGTAGCGGGCACCGGGGTAGCCCTCGGAGTATTTGTTGGACATGGGTGAGCCGAGCGCATCAAAGACGGCGCGGGAAGTAACGTTCTCCGAGGCGATCAGAAGAATGGACTCGCGTTGACGCTGAATTTCCTTCTCCTGCAATCATAGTTAGCAGACTGATTGAAAGATGAATTACTACTGGACTTGCCATGATCTGAGCGACCTCCTGGTCAGTGTCCACCAGGGACTTCTCCATGAGCTGTGGCGAGTTAGCATCGAGTACATTGTCTTTGAAGCGAGAGGCGACATACGTCCTGGTGGGACTTTGGAAGCGCGTAGTTGGACATGATGTGCGGTAGAATGTGAGGGAATGAAGGTGAGAGGTTGGAGAAAAGAGGGGGAGAAAGAGAGATGAGTAGACGCAGCGCGAGATTTTAAGCTTTTCGACAGTCGGAGTACCTGTAGTCCCATTCATCTAACCCCCACCAAATTTTTGGACACCGATAGGATGCACTAGTCTCGTTTAGGTATAGTGCCAACATAAAAGCACCTGTGCAGCCGGTCGTCGGAGCGAATCGGACATACTTTGCGGCGAGAAAAGCTGGAAAAGAGTGTCGTCGGTGATGCTTTGTCAATCGGACATTGACTTAATGATGAGAAATGTTCCGTTTTGGGGTCGTAAAAGTCACACTGGGCAAGGCTACAGAACCCTGCCCTTTCCCCGCGTTTTGCCCCTCACACCATGCGAAAACATCCCGGATGCGCATCACAAAGGCGATTCTCACGTCGCAGCCGAATTGCGCCAACATATGGTTTCAAACACCCGAGAGCTTATTGAGATCGGATATGCAGCCCCGTATCGTTATCCTGTTACGGATATATCACCCATGAGATGGTTCAAGTTTCTTGATTTGACATGTGCGGTTCTCATTCTCTCATTTACTACATAAATACAGTCCATCCCAGCGTCCATTTTGATTTCAATCATTCCTCCTATTCATTTAACATTTCTCGCTGAGCCTCAACTCGCCTTCGTGGATCAAATCGATCTGATGCAAAAAACAAAAAACCACTCCAATCTCAACGCCGGGTATGCCACAAAATATCGTTCTACGCAGCGAACTGCTTTCGCATCGCAGGAAAAAAAAGGGTATGTAATAACTGAGCAGAAGAATGAAAGGCCGATTCGGGTCGGCATCGAATTACATAATCGCACCAACAAAATGCTCGTCTTTCGGAAATTATGTTGCGAATACATTCGCAGTCGCGTCAATGCTCTTAGTCATTGTCGGTGAGGCGGTCGAGGACAATGATGCTGAGAATCATGACAAGCAACCCAATGGTTACTATAATGAGCAGCACAAAGCCGAACCAACCAAGAACCATGGCAGATGTGCCGACACCAGACTTGACGCTACCGTTGCCGAGATCTTGCACGATTGTTGCAGCTGCGACCGAGGCGGTATGTTGCCATAAGACGGAGACGAGGACGAAGATGGACGAGATGAAGATGAGAGCGAGCGCGACCTGGGAGACGGGCCTGGAGGGGAATGGCTTGACGTCGACGTCGGATCCAGTTCGCTCGTCTCTCTCCTCATGCCATCCGGGGAAAGTGGCGAGGAGGATGAAGGTAAAGAAGGCGAGAATGATGGCGACGATGAGCAGGTAGGGGAAAACGACGGCATCCTTGAAGGTAGCGGCTACCCACACAAGGTTGAGGGGGTCCTGGTCGACGGACACGTTGTCGACAAGGGCAGTGGCGTTGTTTGAGCAAATGAAACCACCGCCATCACGGTTGATGCAAATGCCAAAGTAGCCGACACGAACACCGAGCTGGGCGTTGCCGACAATGTTTGCAATGGCGGCCGTGACACCAGGGTCGACCTGCTCAGGTGCGTAGGTGGGAGTGAACTGTTCGTACCACATGGAGATGAGGAAGATGCCGGGAATGAGAGGAGATGTGGATGAGCATCCTGCCAGTAGCAATGCTGCGGATTGTTAGTTTTGGCCGCATGGAATGTTTGGGTTTTGACGTACAGAGCAATATTATCGCAATGGCGATGAGAATCATGAGAACATGGTGAAAGCCAAGAAACGGTATTAACCCTGGTGTTTGTTAGTTTTGATCCCCTTTTTTTTCCAATTCTCTTTGGAGCGACTAGAGGGAAACGTACGTTGCATGCTAACGGCGAACCTCAGGTTTGCCATTGTGAAGATGTGTGTTCTTCAATTGCCTCTAGTGGGCCTTGTGATGGTGGTTGGTCTCCCTGCGCCCCCAGAGGGCCGGGTGATGCGAGCGGCGGGATGCACTCAGACGGTTGCTGAAGAGTGTTGCGCTCTCATAAGCGGGTGCTCGAGTGCAAGCGGTGGTGGAGTTGTGTCAAGAGTATAAAAGATCAATGTCGGTCGGCGGTACTCTTGGCCTAGCCGCTCTTGCAGTGTCGGTCTGGATATGCACTGTGACAGCAATGGTCAGATGTCTCCTGTGTAGACAGAAAAAAGGGTGTGTGAGTGAGTGAGTGTAGGAGGTGGGTAGCGTGGAGTGTGACTTCTCTGGATGACTGCAGCAAAAGGTAGTTTTGCTGCTGGGGAAATGGTGAGGTTGGGTGTGTGGCTGGGAGGTGGTTGGAGGCTGCATCAACACGGCGGAAACTGTAGCAACCGCCTGGAACGCCAACGTCATGCCCCGGACCCGGCCCACAACCAATCAACCCGCGCGCTATCGTAGATGGGGACACTGGTTTTCTGCATACGGGCCAGCCGCCGGCGTGTTCCTGCATTAGACCCTCCTGCTTCATGTCCATACCCAGCCTCTGCATTTCTCCCAGCGACGTGGCGGCTTGCGTACGGCATCCGCCTCGGCCCACTCAGCAAGCCAGCGACCGCTCTTTCGCAAGCCCGGCCCCTAGACTACAATCCCCCTTAGGCGCGCCGCAGTATACAGAGTGCTGCGCGCGACGCGCTCCTCAACAGCGCATACCGCCATTGCTTGGAATCCATTTGTTGAAGTCCGTCCGCAGTCCAGTGTGTGGCGCTATGCGATAACTAAGCGTATAGTGGTGTACATTGCCCTTTGCTTTTGCGCCCACCGCCTAATCCACTCCACACGTGGTGCTTCATTCTAACAAAAAGTCCCCCAGACGCGTCCGACTGCCGGCTGCCGGGGGGCGTCAAGAGTGGTTACCCGGCGACCCTGCAGCGCCCATCTCATCTGGAATCGCTTTGCCCACATGGCAGATGCTGCAAACAAGTAAGCAAGCAATGGGTGCTGTAAGTTTAAAAATTGGCAGAGGCTTGACTGCGCACCTTGCACGCGGGAACGTGACGGGTGACGTCATCAGAGTATTCGACGCAGGGACCAGTAATCCTACACGCCGAAGCCTATCGTAACGCAATAGTCATCGCCATTTGTAGTATACTATGTTCGTATCACTTGCCGGGAGACACTCAACTTGTATATACACAACATTCAAGCATATTGAGATATCCGCACGACCCTGAGATCTGAGCAGCCTGCAGCCAACCCGTCCCCCATGTGTCCCCATAACTTGCTTTCACTTCTCGCCACCCGTCTTCACCCCCCATCCCTGCTTCTCAGCCCGTCTGGCCATGCAACCCAAGCAACTAAACACACTCTGTCAAGAAGCCATCTCGAATCTTGCTTCATATTGCCCAAGTCACGAGCTGAAAATGACGTTGGCGACATATCGCTCCTGTAGCCACACCGTCACCACTCAAGCACCTTCTCATCTCATACCCAATCTTCTTGCTGTAGACTGTAGATGGCAACCACGAAACATGACGTAAATGATCAAGTGTAGAAGGCGTACAAAGTGCATATAAACACCCCTTTTTGCTCCACTGTAAACTCTCCATCACAACTACAACTCCAAACATCATCTTCACCAACCTAACATCCAAACTCCAACCCACCAAACCACCCAACCAAATCCTTCACCATGACCGACGCCTTCCGCAAAGACACCCACACCAAGCTCGGCGAGTCCCTGGTACGCCCCCCCCCCTCCCCTTCCACCCAAACCCCGCACAACTAACCCATGCCAACAGCAACCCCAATCCACCAAATCCACAGGCACAAAGATCAAAGAGTCCCTGACGGGCACAGCCGATAAAGTAGCCCGCGAAGCGCAACCCGACTCATCCAAGACGCACACGCAGTCGACCATGGACAAGCTGGGCCGCTCCAAGGACAACAACGTGCACGGCTCCACGGGCGGCAGCATCGTGGATAAGACGAAGAATGCACTGGGATTGGGACATCACGGTAATACCCACAGTGGCTTGTAAAAGAAAATGATTGAGTCGGGGGGGAAAATGCAGACGGAGGGGGGGGGAGGGGGGTATTATTAGATACTTTCTCTCCTCTTTCCATAGTAATGTCCTAATGCGGTAATGAATATTAATTCTTGAGAAAAACTATGGGTTGTTGTCCTTTGTGAATGCATGTAGATACAAATACTCCCGCCGTAACAATGCATGCTATGATGTGACTAGATGAAGTAAGGAGGGGGTATTCAGTTGTGGAAAACAAAAAAAAAAACAAGCTAGGGGACAGACATTCATCACCCTTGTAGAACTTACTACATGGCAAATCGAACATGGTCCCACCACACTTCTATTCCCAACTCCTCAGGTAGGCATGGCCATGATGGATCCCCATCCACCACCTGCCGGCCCCCCGCCTCCGCCTCCACCTCCACCCCTGGGTCTACTACTGGCCCCTGCAGAAGCCCTACTGCTAGACCCCCTAGCCGCACGCTTCTTGACCCCACCAAAGCTCTTGTTACCAAAGTTCCCCGATGCCCTCTTCTTGAACGTCCCCTTCTTCTTGTACCCCGATCTTGCTGCCGGTGCTTTGGCTGCAGCCTTGGATACAGGAGCTGCTCCCCCACCCAGCTGCGTGTATCGGTTGTTGAATTCTGCCACGTCTGCGTTTGGAGCGTGGTTGAAGTGATGGCTTGTATGTACCTCGCCATCATCGTCGTCGTACTCGAGATCGCCGTAGGATGAATCGTCTCCAAACTCTTCGGTGTTAGCGACATCTACTTCCTCTACGTCGTCGTCGTCATCGTCGTCGTCGCCACACAGATCTACAACAAGCCGGTGGTTCTGGTCATCCACTTCCTCGTCATCGTCGTTATCATCATTGTCATCATCGTCAATTTCATAGACGGTCCGAGAGCTTTGAGCTTGCTTGTTGCGAAGCTGTAGATTGCGAGGAACTGGCGTCTCGTCTCCATAAAAGTTCCTCGTGTTGTTGATCAATTTCAAGAATGACTTGCCGTAACGATCCACCATCTCAGGTCTGATACCCGGTATGGTCTTCATTTCGTCTAGATTTCGTGGTAGATCTAGACCCATTTCACGAAGTACCGTGTCTGTGAAGATGGCTTCGCGGTGACCCTTCTTCTCTTGTATGCTTGTTCTCATCCTCTTGGCCCCGGTCATGAAATCTCTCAAGACATCGCTTTGCAGCTCAGTGAGCTCGGCAGTCCGCTGGTCTGTAGTGATGGGAGTTCCGAGTTTCTTCGCTTTCGTTGCTTTCAATGGCTTGGCCACACGTACTGGCGCAAAGCCATCATCGTCGTCAACAACAAAACCGTCGGCTTGGAAACTACGATTGGCCTGTTTGCGGGTAGGATGGCGTGGTGCATCAAAGACATCTTCATCGTCGTCATCTTCATCCTGGTTGTAAGCAAATGACCTTATCTTTTGCTTATTCCCGCGCACAGGAGAATCGACATTGGTTGATGGGAACTGTGTTTGCTGTTTCTTCGTCTTCTTTGCAGCAGGCGCTTTCGAAGATGCCTTCACAGATGCTTTGCCTGATGAACTGCGTACTTGCAACTTCAGCTGCTTCCGCCTAGTTTCGTAGTCGTTGCGTGTCGAAGCAGGCTAAGAATGTCAGTAAGTGAAAGATGCATCGTCATAGAATACATACATGTAAGTAGCTAGTCGCAAACCCGCTCTTGTTCACCTTGCTCTTTTCTTTGAGATCACCAGCATCCAGCAGTTGTTGAAAGATGCGCTCATTGTCACCCCTTTCTAGGTCCTTACCGTAGCCCCATCCGTATTCTTCCAATCCAGCACTCTTGATCTTGGCACTGCCGGCACCACGGAAGGCATCTACGCATTGGTGCATTGTGACATTTTCCTCATGGATCTGGCTGACAAGCTTAATGGCCATAGCAGCGTACACTGTAAGGTCCTTTGTAACGAACGTGGCATCCGACCGGCAGTTATCACATGTCGAGTTGCACTTCGAGGGATCGAATGCTTCACTAAAGTATCCGAGTACTTGAGCGCGTCGACAGTCGGCTTTGTTCTCGCAGTATTGGATCACAGTTCGCAGCATGTCGCTTAGTCGTTGCTTCTGCTCTCTGCTGCCATCGCCCTCATCAATCATCTTGCGCAAGATCCTCGAGTCCGCATACTGATAGTACAGGTAACACTCTGACCGCTTACCATCACGACCAGCACGACCAGTCTCTTGATAGTAGCCTTCCAGACTCTTTGGTAGCGAGTGATGAATGACATACCGTACATCAGCTTTGTCAATACCCATACCAAAGGCGATTGTGGCCACGATGACATGATATTCGTTCTTCTGCCATTTGCGTTGAACCTCAGACCGATCGGCCGAGTCCATTCCGGCGTGGTAATGGTAGGCACGGATACCCATCTCAGACAGCTTCTGGGCTACTTGCTCGCAGCTCTTCCGTGATAGGCAGTAGATAATACCAGACTTTCCGACATATCGCTCCTTGATCAGATCCGCAATACTGTTGATGATGCCTTTTGCTTTCGGTAACACTTCATAGGACAGATTGGGGCGATTGAAGCTCTGGGAGAATTCCCGGCAACCTTGGATACCAAGATTGGATACCACGTCGGAACGGACGAGTTTGGTAGCAGTTGCAGTTAGCGCAAGCACCGGAACTCCAGGAAACTGTCGAACAACGTCTCCAAGTGCTTTGTAGTCTGGTCGGAAATCGTGACCCCATTGGCTGACACAATGTGCCTCGTCGATGACAATCCTGGCAAGGTTACCCCCAGAATGCAATTGCTGGAAAGCACTAATCATCCTCTGGTTCTTACTAAGCATCTCGGGTGTCACGTAGAGTATCTGGATGAACTTCTGAGGATCCTTTTCGCGCAAGGCGTCCATAATCATCCTCTTCTGAGCTGCGGTTGACTCTCCGTTGATGAGAAATGCCTGCATGCCGAAACGCTGTTTGCAAGCTTCAACTTGGTCTTCCATCAAACTCAATAGCGGAGAAACAACCAAGGTTACCCCGTGTGTCTTGCCCGAAGTGATAACTGAGGGAAGCTGGTAGCAAAGTGACTTTCCTCCTCCAGTAGGCATTAGCACAAAGCAGTGATCGCCAGCTAGCGTGGTGTTAATAGTCTCCAATTGCCCAGGCCGGAAACCTCTCAGACCAAACCGACGAATGAGTGCCGTCCGCAGATCTTGGGACCAACGAAAGTTCATTCCAGGGTGATTCTTGGCCGGCATATTCAGTTGCGGCTTCTTTGGTGATGTTTGTTGGTTTTGTTTTGGTGCGGCTTTGTTCGGCGAAGCTTCACGGAATACCTCGCGAGTGTTTGTCGACGGGTTGGCTCCTCCTGTTCGTTCACCTTTCCAATTGAAGTTGCCTGGTACCTGGTTCTCGATGTTGTTGACTTCATGGAGAAATTCATCGTCATCCGCGCCAAACTCGTCGTCACTTAGCTCGATTGGCTGATGGAGCTCACCCATATGATGAGTAAACAGGTTTTCATCGTCCTCAAATTCCATGTCTTCGAAATCATCAGGCGCTTCATGATGGGCTACTGGCTTCGACTTTTTCGGCGACCGCCGATGTTCCGGTGTCTCAGGTATGCGGTGAGATCGATCTTTCGGCATGTGGTTGTGCATACCTGTCGCACCGTTTTCCGTGCGGGAGCGAACACCAAGATTTGGAGGAGGTAGCGGAGAGGCAACCACCTGTTCCTCGGCGAATCGTATGCGGCGAGTTGGTGTAAATACCTCTTCAACAACACTGTCGCTGTGCTTAGGATACTGTGTTTGAGGGATCCGATGTGGCCCTGAATCCTTTGAATTATCAAGGAATGATCGCACTGGGCTCGTTTGAGTTGACTGGATAACCACGTTGCGGCTGCTCTTCGGCTCTGCCTTTACGACAGACTTGGGTTGCTGCTTGATGGCCGCCAGATCCAGCAGGTAATACATTTGGATCTGGATGTCCTCAATCATCTTGAAGAGTCTGCTGAGAGTTTCACCATCTGCTGCGTCAAACTGACCCATGTCCAAGTCGTCTTCAAGTTTTTGCTTCACCTTTTGCCGCTCGTTCACAAGGTCACTATGTTTGGTCTTCAAGACCATCAACTGCTCTACCGCGTCCTTCCGTGAGCGAGCGCGTCCCATCCTTTCCTGTTCGCTAGGGTCGGGTACACCATGCTCGGAGATATGGGCAACAAAGGTAGCGCGGGCATCTTCCCATGCCAGCCTCGCCGTGCGGAGATGGCTCTCCAACCTTTGACCCTCAGTTTTCAAGAATGCATCGATAGTGTTTTTAATGGCACTCTTTTTTTCCTTTGATAATTCTGACGAGCTTGGGATAGGCTTGCTGGGAGCGGATACTGGCAGAGGTGCAGATTTGGTATTCTTCTTAGGGGATTGCGACTTCGCTGGGGTAAGAATGGAGTCTTGCTCAGGTTGGTGTGGACTAGGACTTCGCAAGACCTTCACTGGAGAACGTATGGGTAGCTGCGTCTGGCTCACAGACACAGCTGGATTTGACACTGGCGTCTTTTCACGTAGCCTTTGTTTCGAAGGCGTAGGTGATTTTGTCCGGGCTTGAGTGTCAATGTCCATCTCATCTATCACACCAAAGTCTTCGTCTTCAGAGTCCATCACCGCATGTTCAACTCTCCTGGTAGTAGGCGCGCGCGTACGACCCGATTTAGGTACCGCAACTTCGGCTGCATTAGGCCTAATCTTGCTAGGGCTAGGGCTACGAGTCTGCTTCCCCATCTTGCGAGCCGGGGCATTTTCTGAAGGCACACGGCTCAACGGTTTACGCTTGCGCGGTTGTGTAGACACCACCTGTTCTGCCTCTGCTATCCGTCGCTCCTCCTCTTCTATTTGTAACATTGCCTCCATATCATCGTCCTCCGTGTCCGCAGCTTGCTCTGGTAGAGGCTTTGTAACCCCTGCGACAATCGAATATGGTGGAGGCGGACTATCCGGAGCCATGACTATGTCTTCGATGTCAGGAAACTCGTCATCGTCGTCGTCGGGCTCTGAGGCGAGCGTAGGGGCAGCTCGAATCGGCCTGGGAGACTTGGCCTGCCGGAGGTCTGCCTCAAACTCATCGCTCTTCCGTTTTCGTCCTTTGGGGGTGCGCATTGGAACTGGCGAAGAGGGAATCGTATCATCTCCAGTAAGGTCAATGGAGTCAACGTCAATCGGCTCCATGCGACTCATTCCAGCAGTGCCATACTGTGAAGCGGGCACTTCCATATGTCCGTTGATCTTCCTTGAGGTTGTCGGTCGATCTCGAGTGCTTTCCAAACTGGCCCTTCCCGGCTCGGCTGTGGTGTTCTTCCCATTCCTTGTCCTGCTTGGGGACGTCGAGTACGATACATGGTCCGGTAACCCCGCTACAATGAGTCTGGGTTTCCCGCTTGCAGGCGTAGCCCTCAGTCTTGCCATATCCGAGCTCGTACCCTCAGCCTCTGGAGGGTTGTGTATATCGATTGGCCTCGTAGGAGCGAGACTGCGGGGTAGAATGGATCTAGCGGTTTGAGGTGCTGATGGGGGCGCTGACACGGAGGCAGGCTGAGGTTCATTGTATGCCGTTTGCGCGTCCGAGTGCGAAGAATGTTGCAGTGAGATTGTCGCCGAACTCGTAGGCTCAGCGCTGGCTTCGTATGCCACGAGCGATGATGCGGGAGGAATAAATGGCTTCTCGTTAACCAACCACTGGAGGTTTTTACTAAGATTGTTCCGAGGCATGAGAGCGTCGCATCGTCGGTGTGAGAATCCGCATCGATGTTTTACACGTGCATCCACAGCAGCGTCACGTTTTAACGGGCGTGGTGTGGCGACATCACTATCCGCATCCTTGACCGTGTTATGCTAAGTCCGCAACACGCGCCGCGCTAGCGCCAAGTCACGTGTAGGCGTCCCCTCAGACTAGGATCTTGCATTCTCTATTACATATCATCATGGACGATAATGGCACCATCACGGCTTCGGTCTCGGCAACCTTTGACACTCGCCCGCATCCTCAAATTCCTGGATGTATGCCGTTCGAGTGTCACTTACAGAACCATGAAATGCTACCAGTAGTCTCGTAAGCTGGCCTTAATCGGAATTAGGCATCCTTCGGCTTCAAAGAACCGTCGTAGTAAGAGTCATGTGCTCTTGTACCACTCACGTCTCCACCCCACGGTAGGCAGCATAGTTCTTTTCTTAGGCACACCGCAATCACACCGCCATCCCAGAGATTGTTTGCAAACAACGCCAGCCCCGTATCATGGAAGTTCAAAGCCAGGAAACATTCAATCAACTCGCCGTGGAGATTGCAAAAATACACGTGCAGCCACCACCCGAGGACGTCCTTCCATCTGGCGATACATTGAGCAGTGCTCGTTCCAAGCTCCAAACTCATCTTCCCGCTAAGGGAGTAGGTCTTGAAGAAAGCATACGGCACCTACGCCAAGACCTAGTTCCTGCATTCAACGCCTCTTCTCGCTCCCCTAATTACTATGGTTTCGTAACTGGTGGAGTCAACCAGGCAGCGGCCCTTGCCGACAATTTGGTCACAGCATTCGATCAGAACGTGCAGGTGCACTTACCCAATGAGACCATTGCCACAGATGTGGAGGATCGGGCACTGTATTTGCTTTGCGAGCTGCTGAACTTCGAGCCCTCGCAATGGCCGCATCGGATCTTTACTACGGGTGCTACAGCAGCCAATGTTCTAGGCCTTGCTTGTGGACGGGAATATGTGATTGCTGAAGCTTCTGCACACCGTACCGATGCCGAGAACAGCGTTGGCGAAGTTGGTATCGTAGAAGCTATGCGCAGGGCTGGCATCGACGACATCCAAATCTTGACTACTGTACCACACTCATCATTAAGTAAAGCTGCAAGCATTCTGGGGCTTGGGCGAGCAAGTGTCAAGTGCCTAGGTCGCTCAGACGCACCGCATAAATTCGACATGCAGCTACTCAAAAAGTCATTGGAACTACCAGGTGCCGCATCAATTGTCGTGGTATCAGCTTCCGAAGTCAACACAGGTGTCTTCGCTACTTCAGGGCTAGAGGAGATGCAAGAACTTCGCAAGCTATGTGACATGCATGGGGCATGGATACATGCTGACGGCGCGTTTGGTCTTTTCGGTCGGATCCTTTCATCCCCTGCCCACTCTTCTATCATAGAAGCATGTGCCGGCTTGGAACTTGCGGATTCGATAACCGGTGATGGGCACAAACTCCTCAACGTGCCCTATGACTGTGGCTTCTTTCTCTCCAGACACCGCGCCATGGCTGAACGTGTATTTCAAAACCCCAACGCTGCCTATCTTGCCTCCGGCAACGGCCCCGATACCATCATGTCACCACTGAATATTGGCCTGGAGAACTCTAGACGTTTCAGAGCTCTGCCGGTGTATGCGAGCTTGGTGGCATATGGAAGGGACGGATACAGAGACATGCTTGGGCGCCAAATCCAATTGGCACGTGGAATCGCGCGATATATTCTGCAAAGCAGCCAGTATGAGCTTCTTCCCCAGAAAGAAGCCTCTCATGAAGATATTTTGAGCGGAATTTTCATCATCGTGCTGTTCCGTGCAAAGAATGAGGAACTCAACAAGCAACTCGTCGACAAAATCAAGGCAACAAGGAAGATTTATGTTTCTGGCACTTCGTGGGAAGGAAGGCCGGCATGTCGTTTCGCAATATCAAACTGGATGACGGATGTTGACAGAGATTTGCCAGTCATTAAACAAGTGTTACAGGATATTGCCTAGGAAAAGAACTCGTTATTACCCTACATCAATACACGTTTTCTATGTGTGATAGACTGGTGCTGTGCAAAACATCAACCTTCTCATATGTCTTCAATTTTATACACCTCGTATGCAGGCTCTTCATATGGATGTGCTCTGTCCAAGTCAACATTTGGTACTTCACTGCATTGGTGGACTCACTTCTTTAGTGCTTCGACAGCCTTGACAGCTGCATCATGGCCCAGACACAGCGTCTCTACCCTGTATTCATCGACCTCTTCTAGCTCACCAACTTTCCCGATCTGCCCAGACATCGTCAGTCTCGTGCTTTGGCTCTACATAGGCATATAGAAAGTTCAACACAACTCACATTTGGATTGGCGGCATCACCAGGCCTGAACTGTCCGGTGCCCCTGGTACAGAAGCATACCTCGGTATATCCACCCGGACCTGGGTAGCGTCCTGCACCAGCGCTGAAAACAGCGGTCTTGCAAACGCTCAGGGCCGAGGGAGGCACGAAGAAGACAAGCTTGAACTTTTGGAGGGCAGATGCCATGGGGACAGGTATAGCAGGATGATATGAGAGAGTATGGCAATGTTTTTGGTGATACTGAGATGAAAATGTTTGGCGAGAAGAGGCTGAGGCTGATCAGGCCATGATAAATACATCTACTGACCACAAGTGACGCTGTAGTGGGGACCGACATTGTCATTGTGTCACCTGCGGCGCCCTACACAAAGTTGACATGTCGACATCGGGGTCATGATGCCTATTTCGTCCAACTAGCAAGCAGAGTTTGTTTGCAATTCTCGATGACTTATGGAAACGTGATAGTGGACCACCAATAGCCAAAATATCCCTTCTTGTTGGAGGGGCGGGCTATGTCGTTCAGGTCCCTGAGACCAAATGGACGCGTGGGGCGGCGCGGGGTTGACCCGTGCTTAGCGTGGTTTCCTCGAAAACAAACAATGGAAGGCGCAGGGCAGCAATCAGTCAGAAGACCCGAGGGACACACGGCCTCTATATCACGACTAACATACACGCACAGCGACACCGACAATGTCTTATGAGACGCCCAGGAAGTCGACGCGCGCCGCTGCGACACGCCGAAAGGCACCCGTCATTGAGGAATCAGATGGCGAGGAGAACGGGACACCAACCCCGGAAGTGAAGGAAGAGGAAGAGGAGGAATTCACACCAGCACCTGCGCCACTCAAGACTGGACGAGGGAGGGGGAGACCAAAAAAGGCTGCGGCCCAGGGCGAAGATGCAACACCCAAGCCAGCTGCAAGGCGGCGGCCTCGCATTACCGAGTCTGCGGAGCCTACACAAGCATCGAGTCGTGCAGTGGAGAGCACCGGGGTCTCTTCGCCTCCCAAGGCAATGCCCAAGAAGCGTGGGCGGAAGCCTCGTGCTTCAGTTGCCCCGGTGGAGCCAGTCGAGGAATCGTCCCAGCTACTCACACCTGACCCCTCTGTATCCCCTGAACCCGAGCAGGCCTCCGAGACTACAATCGCACCTAGCTCGCCTCAAGCCGACGTTGACGGCGATACGATTATGACCGACGCAGCGCCTGTTCCTGAACCACAACCAGAGATTGAGCCAGAGATAGAGCTTGAGGCAAAGCCCGAACCCGTTGCTGAAGTTACACAAATAGAGGCGAAGGAGGAGACCCCCATACCAGAGCCCGAAGTGGAGACTCAGCAACTAGAAGAACCGCAAGCTCCGGCCAAGGCATTGGAAGATGCCAACACGCAGCAAACTATGCTCGAACCCATTGATATTGTGGTCAAGAGACGAGCGGCTGCCATACCCTCTTTACATGAGCCTGCCCCACCAAAGCAGCGCACAGTAATCACCTGGCTTGTTCTAAACAACTTTAAGAGTTATGCTGGTCGGCAAGAAGTGGGCCCATTTCATGCCTCATTCTCTTCGGTCGTAGGGCCCAATGGTTCAGGCAAGTCCAACGTCATTGACTCGCTACTTTTCGTCTTTGGTTTCCGCGCAAACAAGATGAGACAGAGCAAGCTCTCGGCCCTGATTCACAACTCGGCTGCGTTTCCAAACTTGGAATTTTGTGAGGTCGAAGTCCACTTCCAGGAAGTAAAAGATCTTCCTGACGGTGGGCATGAGGTTATCCCAGACTCACAGCTCGTGATTTCGCGAAGGGCTTTCAAGAACAACTCGAGCAAATACTATATCAACAGAAAGGAGTCAACTTTTACTATTGTCACAAATCTGCTCAAGGACCGAGGGGTTGATCTGGACCATAAGCGTTTTCTCATTCTCCAGGGTGAAGTCGAGTCTATTGCACAGATGAAACCAAAAGCCCAGGGCGAGCACGATGACGGTCTTCTCGAGTATTTGGAAGATATCATTGGCACGTCCAAGTACAAGACACCGATTGCAGAGTCGGAAGTAGAAGTCGAAACTCTGAACGAAGTCTGCCGGGAGAAGAGCAATCGCGTGCAACACGTGGAAAAAGAAAAGGGTGCTTTAGAGGAGAAGAAAGACAAAGCCCTAGCATATATCCGGGACGAGAACGAGCTCGCTGCGAAGCAGTCCACTCTCTACCAGATTTACGTTTCTGAGTTTGATGATCACATCCAGGTCACCCAGGAATCCGTCACTCAGCTGCAGGCTCAGCTAGACGAGGAACTCCAAAGACATCAGGGCAGCGAAGAAGAGATCAAGGAACTCGAGCGTCGGTACAAGAAGGGCGCAAAGGAATGCGAGCAGCTCGAAAACAAGAATCAAGAATTTCAGAAGGAAGTAGCTCGCATCGACAAGGAGTCCGTCAAGTTTGAAGAGAAGAAAAAGTTCCTAGCGGGCAAGCAAAAGAAACTCGAAAAGACCAAGGAAACGAGCTACTACGGCCGCTCGGAGGCAGAGAGCCTCGCAAAGCAGTACTCTGATGATCTCGAACGTTATGCCGAAGAGATTGCTGAACTCGAGGAAAGCATGAAGGTCGAAGAAAAGGAGCTTGAGGCTATTCGAAAGAGCTTGGCAGGCAAGACACAGGGTCTTTCGGACGAGATTGCAGCAAAGCAGAAGTCTTTGGAGCCTTGGAAAGCCAAGATCAACGAGAAGCAATCAGCCATTGCTGTCGCGCAAAGTGAACTCGACATTATGCGTGAGCGCGAGAATGCGGGTGCCAAGGGTATCGCCGATGTTGAGGCCAGAATTGAAGGCTTGGAGGAAGCCAAACAGGCCAAGGCTGCAGAGCTTGACGAATGCAAGGCTGAAAGGAAACGAGTGGAGAAGGACATCCAGAAAACGCAGGCCAAGCTCGAAGAGGTTACGCAGAAAGAACCTTTGTTGAGGTCGAAGCTTTCTGGAGCACGAGCAAAGGCTGATGAGGCTCGTGCCAGTCTTTCCTCTGCTCAGACTCAAGGCAATGTCTTGACAGGTCTTATGCGCTTGAAGGAGTCTGGACGTATTGACGGCTTCCACGGTCGTCTTGGTAATCTTGGTACTATCGATCAGAAGTATGACGTTGCCATATCGACGGCCTGTCCGCAGCTAGACAACATGGTTGTTGATACTGTGGAATCCGGCCAGCAGTGCATTGAATACCTACGAAAGAACAACCTTGGTCGCGCCAACTTCATCCTACTGGACCGTCTTGCCAAGCGCGACATGTCGCCTGTTCAAACTCCAGAGAACGTACCTCGTCTCTTCGACCTTGTCAAACCCAAGCATGAAAAACTCAGACCCGCCTTCTTCCAGGTCATGACAAACACACTTGTAGCTGAGGACCTGGACCAGGCTGAGCGTATCGCGTATGGTGCCAAGCGATGGCGAGTGGTTACCCTAGATGGCAAGCTCATCGACACAGCAGGAACCATGAGTGGTGGTGGAAGTCGCGTGGTAAAGGGCAAAATGTCATCCAAGCTTGCGTCAGATGTCTCAAGGGACCAAGTTGCCAAGCTTGAACAGGATCGCGATACACTGGAGCAGACCTTCACAGAGTTCCAGCAAGAGCTGCGCGAGTTAGAGACAAGCCTGCGAGATCTCAACCAGCAAATTCCTGAGCTGGACACCAAGGCACAAAAGCTTGCACTCGAGTTGGAGAGTTTCGACCGCAACATTCTTGACTGCCAGCGCCGCATCAAGGAGCTGGGCAGCGAGCAAGCGTCTACTAAGACGGATAAGGGTCGCATCTCATCACTAGAGAAGAGCATTGCTTCGATGGAGAAGGACGTTTCCAAGCTCGGCGCTGAGACAGAAGACATTGAGGCAGAGATCAAGGCTCTACAAGACAAGATTATGGAGATTGGAGGTGTCAAGCTGCGAGGTCAAAAGGCCAAGGTTGATGGTCTGAAGGGCCAGATTGATACGCTTACTGAGCAGGCTTCAAGCGCTGAGGTTTCCAAGTCGAAAGAGGAGAAGCAACGCGCCAAGCATGAGAAGGCACACAACGACGCCATCAAGGAACTGGAGAAGCTTGCCACTGAAGCCGAGAAGGTTGAGGGAGATATGGCCTCTCAACAACGGGATGTCTCTGGAATACGACAACAAGCTGAAGAAGCACAAGAGGAGCTTGAGGCCAGAAAGGAAGAGTTGCAGGTCGTCAAGAATGAGCTTGATGAGAAGATGACCGAACTCAACGAGACACGTGCTGTCGAGATTGAGATGCGCAACAAGCTCGAAGAAGGACAAAAGACTCTTCATGAATTCCAGAAGAAGCAGGCCTACTTCCAAGACAAGTTGAGCAAGCTTGCGTACAACAGTGTAACAGACCTGGGCGAAGAGCAAGAAGGCGGCAGTGGTGGCGAAGGTCTACCTTCCTACAGCAAAGACGAACTCCAGGATATGGACAAGGCTACTCTCAAGGAGCAAATTGCGCACCTGGAGAAGAAGAACGAGTCTACACAAGTCGATCTATCTGTTCTTGCTGAATACCGCAAGCGTGTGGAAGAACACGCTGCACGCTCAGCAGACCTGGCAACGGCTGTCAGTGCACGTGACGCTGCAAAGCACAAATGCGAAGAGCTTCGACGCCTACGCAAAGAGGGCTTCAAGGAAGGCTTCGACATCATCACGGCACGCCTCAAGGAAATGTACCAAATGATTACCATGGGTGGCAACGCCGAACTTGAGTACGAAGATACGCTTGATGCCTTTTCTGAAGGTATCCGTTTCTCCGTCATGCCTCCCAAGAAATCTTGGAAAAACATTAGCAACTTGTCTGGTGGAGAGAAGACGCTGTCATCTCTTGCCTTGGTATTCGCACTGCACCATTATAAGCCGACACCTTTATACGTTATGGACGAGATTGACGCCGCGCTGGATTTCCGAAATGTGAGCATTGTCGCGAGCTACATCAAAGAGAGGACCAAGAACGCGCAGTTCATAGTCATTTCGCTTCGAAACAACATGTTTGAACTTGCAAGTCGGTTGGTTGGTGTTTACAAGGTCAACCATATGGTAAGTTGCACAATGATACACTTATGGTGGCTTGAATCGTGGCTAACAACGCGACAGACAAAGAGTGTTACGATTGAGAACAAGGATTATATCAACGCCCAGGCATGATGGGAATGAATAGCAGC